CACACCCTCTGTTCGTTCTGCACTGTGGTGATTGGTCTGTTGACCGGACGCAAGGAAGGGCTAGGATCGGTCGGTTGGGGTATTCCACTGCGATATCATCATATGAAACCCTGCATAGTGGAGTGTGGATAGGTGGTGTGGTGGGAGGGGTCATTGGCGGAAAATGGTGTGGGGGTGAGGTGGAAATTTGGAGATGCGGGTGTAGGAGACAGGGAGGGTACAGATTTACTTTGAGAGACTGGAGGGGACACCCAATAGTTAATTAGAGAAGTACTGGGGAAAAGGATAAACCTTGTCATGGCTACTAGTTTAGCCGAATACAATATGATTAAAACAAAAAAAAACCAACTCGAACATTCCTATCGAGGTCACCAAGGAAAACGACAAGCTTGCCGTTGCGAACCCCAGTGTGGAGCCCAGAGCCAGCAACACCGTCACGACGATGATGAAGTATGTGCTGGGCCGTGAGACATTGCAGCTATCGAGACGCTATTGGATACAGAGCGTTGGAACCGATCTGCCCGTCGGTCACCCTGATACAGGGGCAATATGACTTATGGACGCCACACCAAAACGTAACCGAGGTTTCTTCCCCACCTTACTTTCGTCAAAGCCACCACCGCTATAACCAACTACAGCAAATGCTATGCTTACTATGAAGACCTACTGTACGAAACCGACAAACCGGATTCTACGCTGGACGCCTCTCTCCCCGGAACCTGCCACTCCGAAAGCGGAGCGACCAGCTCAGGATGCTTGGGAGCGTTTGCGTTTGCTCCAGACTCCCGCCAGAACCTCGCGCTCTATCATCATCTCACTTTCGTCCGCTCTCACCCTCTTCTGCAGAGGTCGGGCATTACTGCAGCTCGAGGACTTACCACCCAACCGGTTCTACAGCTCTCCACTCTTCACAGCAATCGAAACGTTTCAAGTACGCGAATTGTTAGAACGTCGGCGTGTTTTCTGAAATGCCATCATGGCCAGCAAAGGGTGGATGCAGCTACAATCTCGAAGTTAGTGGGGCAGGGACAGTGTTTCTAGCCTGGGGTTCGATTCATCTAGTTAACGAGACTTCAGATTCGCGTTCTGAAGATAACGACGACAATGAGGATCAGGGGGAAAATAAAGACGCTTCGGAGGACCGTCGGAGGCCGAGACCCAGGAACTGCCACCCAACTGTCATCGCTTCTCATCATGAGCCCAGACTACAGTACGTGCGTACCCCCAACTGAGCCCCCATCTAACTCTGCTCCAGGACTCTCCGACTTCTCACACCTTGAGATCCTCCCTTCTTTCTTCCAACTTTGTAATCAATGACAATGTCCGGTCTTCCGCATACTGTTAGAGTTCAGCAACTCTGAAAACTACTTCCATAACCCCAACAAACCGGTCTCATTGATCCCGTCGATATACTACTTCCCGGAACTGTTGGCTGTATCAGTGCCGTCATTTTCTTGAACGCCGACGAGGACGAGCGCAGGTATAAGTTCAAGGAATGGTATAGAGGTGTTTTTGGGCGGTGATGGTTTGTAGAGCACGGCGTTTGTCCGGATGGTGTGAGGATTGTACGTGTTCTATGTGCATGCTGATACTTTGAAATTATAGGTTAATGGGGGGTGAAGGGTATGTTTGATAAAACAGCGGATATCGAACTCATACACCAGGAAGTAAGATACGGTTGAGGAAGCGGTGTTTCTCAGAGAGTATAGATTCCTGTGAAGGTTAAGCGGTTGGTAAGGCACACGAAGGTACATTACGAAGGTCATCCGAGGAATAAGGAAAATTGGAAGGCTATGAACGAACTGCAGAATGAGTACATTGGGAGGAGGAGTCCTTATTTGGGTACTGAAAGGGGTGTTTAGCGTAGACAGGATGGTATGTGTTAAGCCTTCGGCATTGAGGTGATTGAGCACGCCAAAATACTTTCATTTTGTCTAGTTACTTGTATATAATGGGAATCATTCGTGAAGACGACGTTTATCTTCCGCAGGTGATGGAGCCACAGAGTTTCCACCAAATATCCACGCCAGCATCATGCAACGGCTTGCAGTAGTTCCAGAGTCACTGCCAGTATCTCCGTTGTATCCCAGCCTCCCCGTTTCCCAGATTCACGAGTTCCCTTTGCGTCAGGCATCCGAATAACCCCCCAGACCTGGCGACTTGCGATATTCCATAATCCTGCCAGAGTAGGAACTGAAGTTTCAGTCAGTAGTGACTATCCTGGAAGCAAGCGAGTGTGGCCTAGCTCGCAAAGCAATATGCCAGAAAGAAGGGTGTTTACAGAAGAGAAAACTGCCGCAACAACTTTATTCTTTGGCCTTAACCAGAAGCCATGTTAGCTGCAAAGCCAGTGCACTATAACAACCCGTATATCGCCACCTCGCCGCTTGCGCTGGCTAAAAGACAATATGCGAGCATGTAGATTGCCCGGCCAGCCCAATGCCAAATGTATACCTGTTTGCGGCGATACAAGCTTGGTTCCAAAAACGGCGGGATGAATGTGATATCCTCACTCGCTCAGAGATTCAACAACTATGTAATCCTCCACCTCGAGTCTTCGCCTACTAAACGGAACTGTCCCTTCATTTTCTGCAGGGATATTTCTCATTGCTGACGCCGCATATCTGCCCACTATAATATCAATGCAAGCCGCCACCTTTCCGCCCGCGCCGCCTCAACCCCCGTGGATGTCGGTGCTTTGTCACTCGCGCATCCTCCACCGCCTACGCATGGTGCAGCCTCGCCACTCGCGCATCGCAAACGATAAAACCCGTGTGCAAAACCTCCCATGGCCTTCAACGATCGGAAACAGCCTAGTCAAGCGGCATGAAGTAGACAGATGATTCGTTGGGGAACCGCACCACCCTCTATTCCATCGCCTGACTTCGTGTCTTATGGTACGTGTGCGCAAAATTGAACGCTACCCAGCGCTCGCAATGTAAAGTAGTAAGACGACGCGTAGTTGTTGCACACTAGATCCAGCACTGAATAGTCGAGAACACCCCGCAGACCCTCTGCCTGCCTCTGTTGACTCGTGGTGGTGGACCCGTGCGTGTGCATGTGCTAGCTGCGGTTCAACCTGTGGTGACTATTTGAACCCAGCTACCTGCGAACAGATTGTAGATGTTAGCCTCCGACTACCGAGATATGGAAGAAGAGCGAAGGGAGCAAAGGGAAGAAAATAAATGTAGTTAACTATGGATTGAAATGCAGCTTTGCTGGATGCAAACTTTGCGTTGGATGTGGTGTAGTTGATGATGGTTGATCGAAGAGTGGAGTTGTAGAATGAGCTTGCGAGAATGTACTATACGTATTGAAATGTTAGTTCTAATTTTAGTTCCAATTGAAGAGCCCCCTCGGACTCTTGGGTACCCTGCTAGCTACTGAAGTATGAGAATTTCAACTGAGGACAGTGTGTCTCAACTGTCACCATTGCAGTCCGCTGCAATGGTGTCAAACTTTCTGGACCATTTTCCGCCACGTTGACACCTCATCGGTCTATGTCAATATACCTGTGCATCAACCAACTTGTAGCAACCTTTCTGACCTCCCATTGTTTGCTTGGAGGTAGCCGTTCAAGTGGGACTGGATTGGTGGCAGTGGTGGTGGTGTTCGCAGTGGTGGCGGTGGGTAGGTACAAATGGGTGTACAGAGAGCTGCAGAAGGGTAGTTGTGGGGACGGTAAACCGTGGGCACAGAGTAACACGGTATACGGAGAATCGGTTGCTAAATGTGGGTGATGATGTATGTAGGGACAATTGCCAAGGCTTGGTTTCTTAGCGGCGTACTCATCGGTTAATCTAATTCTCTCCCTGCCATCCTCTCCATATCACCAACACCAACAGAGCTTTGCACGCATCACCGCCACCATCGCAGATTTTACCATTGTATCGGATTACCTTTGATTCAAATAGCTACACCGTCGTTCGCTACTGTG